AATTGAAAGAAGTGAAATGAAGTGAAATGCAAGTGACTGACATGATGATTTTGAAGAAGTAAATTGGTTTTTTTTTTTTGTGAATGCTTACAACTTTAATACAGAATGATATTTTCAGACTTATTTCTGTTTTTCTTTTTCTTTTGCTTTGCATGCAATTTTCTTTATATACTTTTTAATGAACTTGAGTTAGTAATCGTGCTCTTATGCTTGCAATGAAAGTTTAAAATTATTATATGTGTTTTTTTTTTGTTTTATGATGATGTGATCAAAGTGTACCATACGCAATTTGGAATAAGAATTCTGCTTTGTAAAAGTATCTAGAGTGTAAAATTCAAATTAAGTTTTGTTATATTTTTCTTTTTCTTCAAAAGTATTAGATTAAGGATTGTATTGGTTCGTCTCTGTCCTTCTTTACTTTTTATTTTGTTAATCGAAATTTTCGAATAAATATTTTCTTCGACGGAATTAATTATTTTGCAATACAAATTATTCAATTTATTATAAAAATATTATTAACCCTAGGAAAGATTAATTTAACTTAAGCAATGATGTCTTTAGTATCTTTCAGGTCAGTATTCGTATTACATTCTTATTACTTTGAAATTTCCATGAAAAAAGATTGTGCAATAGTAATTATTGTAGAAAATTTACGTGAAATTTTTCATTAATTGAATAAAAATGACCAGTTAACTGACAGATGAATTAAAAATTGATTTGCAATTCGCTTTTAAACCTTAAATAAAATATCTTACTTATTTGTAAAAAAAAATTAATCCACACTTTAGTATAGTTCTGCAAGCTAAATATTTGAATTCTCAAAATGGAAACACTTGTGGTATGAATTGAATATCTTAATAATAATTTTGTAAAATACCATCACCTCGCTGTAAGTCTCTTTAACCATGCTAAAAGTCATATTTCTTATAAGCAACCCAAAATTGAAAAATTAGGTAAGAAAAATTTCGCCTGGTTTTCTCTAAAAGTCGTAAATTTCCGCTCTCAAAAATTACTTTAAGCGGGTACTACTACATTACTGAAATATTCTTTTTTTAATTAAAACTTTAAAACTGTATTTTTGCACTACTATTCATTTTAATGCGATTAAGACCTAAAACAGTCTAATAATTTTCATATAATTTTCATCTTGCTACGAATATTATTTTACAATCTGGAATTTTGGATAATTTAACTTCTTAATATAGTTTAAATTGCGAAAAATTTCAAATTTTTAAATTCATGGCTTGGAGTATCGATGAGCTTGGTCAACCCTATCATATATTATGTATTAAACTTTTGTTGCAATTAATGAAACCACATAAGAAACAAAAATATTATTTTTTTTATTAAATATTTTGTATGGGGCTACCTTACAAATTTTGTTACTTTTTTTGTCCATGTTTATGAATATTTTGTGATCTGTGTTACTCGTATTTAAATTTTATAACTTCCACCACACGACATCATATCAAATCATCAGGGCAAGAAAAAGGTAAGAAAAAAAATTTTTTTTTTCTTTACTTCCAACTATCTAAAAAAAATTAAATGAAATTAAAATAACTCCAAAATGCAACGTTTTACAAATTACATATTCGGCCAAAAAGCGAAATATCCGCAAATAAAAAAGAAAAATATAAAATTTCGTTATTCTTCTTGTTGTTTTTCGTCTGTTTTCTTATATCTTTATACCTCGTATCTTCTTTTATTGTTTATGTGATTATTTTGTATGATTCTTGTTACTTTGAATAAGTTAAAAAGTAGACGTAAAAATAACAGCATCCGCATAAAAAGATGAACTCAACAATAATAATTATAACAACAATAACAACAACAGCAACAACAAAACAAAAGTAAAATTAATTTTTACCTTAAAGAACAGAGAATTGAACATAAATTTGTGTTTTAAACTCCGGTAGCAGTTTTTGCTTAAGAGGATAATAGATTTTTGTTTTTTTAATTTTCTTATTATTTTCATATAAAATGTATGGCTATTATTAATATGTATGCAAGTGGACGTAGACGTAGAGGTATGTAATGTGCATTCAGATAAATATGAATAAATTTTATAGGGTATAATGAATTACTTTTTTCATTTCTTATTCCTATTCGTACGTGAAAATTTACGATAATTTATTTATATGCATATTTTTCGTATTATTTATATGCGAAATTACGATAAGTTCAATAACGCTACACTATATTGTTATTTAGATGATACAATAATATTATAGAACTTACAGCAATTACTGCTGAATCGGATATGCGGTATGGTACAACTGATTAAGTTACCCATGTTGTTTGGGATCAAAGATTAAATAACTTTCGACACTTGGGCGGTAGGTAACATTCTGTTTCTCCAATATCAAAGATCAATGTATCTTAATTTTTGTAATTTTATGCATTTACTGAGCGGTTTTTTAAAATAATAACTTCAACATTTAATATAAAATCGACAATAAATTTGTTTAACGAATTTAATATCCTATAGTTGTAATTTCGCAAATATTTTATATTTGACTTGTTTTTCTTTTTAATATTTTTCTTGTCCGATTTCTTTTAAATTTTTTGTAACTCATGTTGATTTTTGACCCTTTTTCGTTTATTTTCTGTTTTGTTTTTTATTTATTTCTTACTCTTTGTAGGTATTCTTTGTTTAAATATAGGAAGATGGTTATTTATTTATTTTTTTTTATTCTGGTTAAAAGGTAAATTTTTCACAAAAAAAAACACGCGTGTTCTTTTCTTTATACATATTTCTTATGATTCGCTCCTTTTATGTAAAATATAAAATGTAATTCAGAAGCTATTGTAGATTTTTAATTTTAATTTGTACTGAAGTTGTGCATACAGACATTATGTACATATGTGCATATAAAGATAGCATGTATAACAGACTTAATTTACATACCAAACTTTTATACTCGTATGGGAGTGAATTGTGAAGAATGGTCCACAAAAAGTCTATGATTTTTTATTTTACACAATAAAAATGAAAACAGAAAAAGAAAAATAATAGCATTAAAACGACTTAGTCAAGCCACCATCTGGTCAAGAGAAGAAGAAATGTAATAAATTTTTCTCTCAGTGTTGAATTAAAATTTTTACTTTTCCTGTTATTGTTTTGTTGCGTTTTCTTTTCTTTCGCTTTTTTTTATATTTTTTGCTATTATTATTTTTTATTATTCTTAATTCTTATTTTTGTTATGTTGTTGCCAATACTGTTATTATTGTTTATTATTATTTTTGTATAGTTGGTGATTATAGTAATTTTTGTCTCTTTTTTTCTGTACTCACTTAATTTAAGAGCACAATGATATTATCATGATAGTAAGCAACATTGTTGCAAACAAAATAAGCAACATAAAAGAAATTAAAGGTTTTATTGATGTTCACTGTGTTACCAATAAGCACAAGGCAAAAAAATGAAATATGTACCTATGTAGATATATACAAAAAAAAAGTCAAAAACAATTATAAAACAAGAATATAAAAATAAGAGCAGAAAATAAATAAATAAAAAATAATACTTGAAATCGCGATCATAACATAATAACGCGACCAATTTAAACGGCCTATATTATAAAATGTCCTTTACAATAGTGTCTGATGTCTGCTGATGGGTTGATATTTTGTGTTTTAGTTGTGCTGCCAGCATAATGTTGTTCGTAAATTCTGATATGTACGGTTCTATAACGTGTTATTTATTTGGTTTTTTTTGTTGATATTTGTAGCAAGCATATATGCATATACATACATACAAACATATGTATGAATTATCATTGCTGTATTTTCCCTGTATCATTGCTGTTATTTTGTTTTTGTATTCTGATTGCTTTTTTCCGTTTTTTTTTTTAATTTTTTTGGTTAGTGTGTCTACACAGGTAGTAGTACATACATGTGTTATGTACATATGTATGTGCATATGCGAATGAAATAAAATAAAAATATGTATTTAGATATTATGAACGATGCATTAGTGCATCCCATGAGGAACGAAAAATTTTGGTCTAAAAAAATATGCTGCCGTCAGAAATGAAAAAAGTATATCTAAAAATTCTCTATATTCATATAGCTAAATCTTAGAAAAGAATATTCGCTAGAATTCACCAAAAATATACCATGCTATTTGTTTATGAAAAGGAATAAAAATTTTGAATAAAAATATAATTAGATTTTAGTGGCTTGCTTATTTTATTTTGTTAAAATATAGTGATAAACTAACTAAAACTGCTCCACTGCTATAGCAAAGAAGCAAAAGTAGTGAATTTGTAGCAAAAATAATGTGAAACAAAATATGAAAGTGTAGAACAGTGTAAAATTGCGAATATACCAATGTACATACATACATACTTGTTTAAAAATACAATGTATAAGATGTATTCGAAGAAAATTTCTACTAAGGAAGAAAATAAGAAAATACTAAAATCTGGTTTGGATTAAACTTTGCACTTATTTTTGATCTGATATTTTCTGACAATTTGATTTTTCTTTTTGATTTTTTAGTTCTTTTTTTTTTTTTTTTGATGAATGCACTTGAAATTATATGCATGTACATACATATGCGTCTCTGCAATGTGTATGTGTAATACAATTGTATTATTTGTCAATACTTTCTTTAGGGTTGCCAAACCAAAACCAATTCATTTTTTTTTATCTTTTTAAAATTTTAGGAAATTGGGATGTTTGTACATAGTTTGTATATTTTATGCTTTTATTTGATTGTACACATACGAGTATATACATAATGTACGTTTTTTTCTGTAAAAATCACAAAAGTATATCGTAGGAAAATATATTTGTAACTAATTTGTTTTTTTCAAAATTTTGTGTACAAAATGCCTCTGGCATTTGTTTCTGCAATACGAAACTGGCATGTTGAAATTCTACTTAAGCCAAAATTTTACTCAAAACTAAGCAACCTTTAAACAAATTCCTCAACCCGAAATTTTCACTTTGTTAATTCTAGGAGTGTATTGAAATACTTTTTTTTCTATTTACAGTTGGATCAACTTGTGAAACAGTATCATGTGGTCCAAAGAAAACTTGCCTAAAGGATTTAGCAACTAATCAGCCTAGATGTGTAACATGCAGTTTTAAATGTCCAAGAAAAAAATATAAAAATCAGGTAATTTTCGACTTATTGCAAAAGAGGCAAAAATATTTTGCACATAGTTTTTAAGAAAATATTTTTAAACATTTTGCAAATAATTCTATTCAACTACATATACTGAATTAAAATTAAGTAGCACAAAAATTCTGATATTTAATTATTGATTATTACAAATGTATCGTGTATTTGAACCACAGTGCCTCAGTATTTGGGAGAGCTGGAAGCGTCTTTCAAAACTTCCATTGTGTAGAATGTAATTTTTAGGTATTTTATGAGATAAAAATTATGTTTTATATTTTCTTATTCTTTAAAGGGTAAACTCTTTCAGGTGATATAATTAACTTCTTGAATTTTTGGGCCTAAAAACTCATTCTTCTGAGAAAATTTGTTTTGGAGGTCCTGTAAATACAATAGAATTTCAAACATCCTTTGTATAAAGTAAATTTTTTTTTAATATATACAGAATTTTAAGTATACAGAAATAAAACTTCTTATGTAAAAATTTTAACAAAATCTGATGAACTTTGTAGTTGTCAAACATATTGCAAAATTAACATTTCCTCTCAAAAAATCTCAAAGGACCTTATCTTTAAATTTTAATTAATATTAATTAATTTTAAATAATATAATTAAATCGGTAAACTTCAAATGTTAAGCATTTTCTTATGAAATCACTTTGATTCTCACTGTGGTTATAACCACTTAAAAGAGAACTTTTAAATTTTGATAAAGTTTTTTTAAAGAGTATCTTCATTAATTTCAAATGACTAATTTAATTTAGATACCTAAGTAGCCTAGTTTTAAAATCTTGATATTAATTTATATCTTCCTTTAGGTCCACAACAAAAATAAATTAAGTTAGAATTTGACCGTTCTGATCTCAATGCGTACATATGTATGTGCTATGCACACAAGCTAAATAACACACATTCGTTAACTCGTATTGTTGAAGCAAAAAAATTCATTCCGTCTTCTTTTTTCAAAATTAATTTATGTACATTAGGTTTTATGTGACAAATGATTTCCATTAAGAGTTGTTTTGAAGTTCTCTCTTTCTATAAAATAATCCGCTAAAAATTTCCATAAATTTTCAATTAAAATCAATCTGTCAGATCATAAATATGAAATCTTTAGTATATTATTTTCGTTTTTGTCTGACACAGCCAAAAAAAAGATCCTTTATTTATTTCATTTTATTGTTTTTTTTTCTCCTTGTTTTTATTATTTTCTACTTGACATTCTTAAGTTTTTAACGATTTTATTCATTTCATCGGTTGTTGTTAAATCTAATGATAACATTTACATATTATATACGAAAATCAGTTAAAGGCAACAAAAAGCCAACTACTTCAATGTGGTTTACAATAAAAAAAATATTTGGTTCTTAAAAAAATTCATGATTACAAATGAGCTTAAAACGAGTAGGTCTTCAGCTAATGAGTTGCTAAAAAAATTAAACGAAATTGCTTTTTTCACGTTGTTCATTATTATGATTTTTATTTGAATCTCGCAGCTTTCCATAAAACCATGTCATTCAATCATCAAATTAATCATGCAGTTGCCAAAATGTTATTTAACTTTAAAAGTATTATTAACCTCACTTGTACTTTCTTTCTCTACTTAATATGCAAATTGCAAATTTTTGAACATTTTAAGCTCATTGTTTCCATACATTCAGGAATTTCTAGTGTAAATTGCAGTATGTAGTTGATTTATTTCTAATTAAGTGTTCATATTTCGCATACCCTCTTAGAGATTATGCAATTAGAGACACAATAAATTATGCTATAATACTTTTATGTACCTATAAAAAGAAGAAGTCGAGAGGAGGAGTTAAACGAATATACTCCGCTACAGATGATTTTTTTATTTTTTACATGGTAGTAAGCAGACGTCGAATTTTCATTCGGCGATATTTACCGACATATGACGTTAGAGGTAGCAGCGCTTGTTAAATTGTTTGTGTTTTTTATAAAAAAAACAATTTGATAATATTATTCGACAAAGTACAGTGCAAATTTAAAAATTTTGAAGTATAACACAAAGTAACACATTTTTCCACAAGGTGGCAACAATATTTTTTCATGCATAACTTAAAATAACAATAAAAGAGCAATGGAAATAAAAATATTTCAATGTTTAAAGGGAAACGCAAAGAAGTAATTAAAAAAAAATATGCATTTCCAGGTTCATCATTCAGTCTTCACTGTTTGGAAATAAAATAAGATTGAAAAAACTTAACACCACCAGTCAAATTTAAACGATCATTTGGCTCGCATTTTGGGCTTGGCTCACATTTTTTGTTCTTAAACTCTAAAATAATTTTATTATTTCGTATTTTATTTTTTTTTTGTGTAGTTTGAGTGATTGTGACCTGAGTGGGATTTTTATTACGGCATATAGGCAGTAAATTTGAATAAAAATCCAAAAAAAAAAAATAAAAAAAAAATTAAAGGAGTCAATCATGGTAGAAGACTTTTGAAGTTTTTTTTTTTAATGTCAATAAGAATAAGAAGAGGAGGAAGCCAATATAATGAATAATTTGACTAATTAAATTTGAACAATTTTGGAATTTTTGAATCAAAAAAAAAATTTAAATTATTTACATGAAAATAACTTTAATTTTAAAAAATTATCACTGATACATTGTTATATTTTGTTTACTACATTGTTGTCAAAAGACTCCTTACCATATAGGCATGATTATAATATTTAAATTTTTGTTTTGATTTTTTATTGTGATAGTGCATTATAAATTTTGTTCTTCTTTAGGAGATTTTCGCTTCAATAAATGACAAAATATCTTGACATGATCAGAAATTTCGATTGATTTATGATGAAGAATTTTAATTTGTTTTGTGATAATTAAATAGTTGATGGTATTTGCATATAATTACATACACATATATAATGTATTGTATGTAAATTTGAGAAAGAGATAGCAAATATGCGTTCTGCTCCCATTACAGCGCTGCCAAAGGTGAAGAATTATTTTTAAAATGAAGGTTTTCTAACGCTACTAAAGTTTTTGAAAGTTGAAATTTTTTGCGCTTTTTTTCCCAAAGTTTACAAAAAAAAACATTTTGACCAAAAAGCCAATTTAATAGGCAACGCATGGTAACACTACTTCCATGACAGAAAATTTTTGATATTCTTCGCTTCATTTAATTCTATATTAATCGACTTGACGCTATAAATAAATGCGCATACGGCTTATAACATCATTATGTCACATAATTATCAGGCATCAAATTTTTTCTATTTGATGCCCGATTTAGTTCGAATTGAAATAGTGATATTTTGGCTTCTTTCTTTTTAGCACTTTTCCAAAAATTTTTCTAGATTCCAGGTTGTGGGAGTCTGAAATTTTAGCAGCCTTTAGATACTAATAAATAGCTTATTACGTTAAAAGAAAATTTTTTTCCATCTTCACCCCCCTCTCAACTTTTCGCCTCTTAAACTTGTAAAATTTGAATTTTTGACGCTATTTCAAAAACTGCATAAATCGCTCATCCTAAATATATGCAATCCTAGAAAGAGTTTTGTATATGAATGAAAATAATTTTTATAGTGTGATAGGTATACATAGACTGTATTTAAAAGCAGTATTTTCACTAATTGTTGAAGGCAAAAGTGTTACAATACAAACCATTGGTTTGACCCAACTTTAATTTAATTTCAATTGGAAATTTCGAAGGGCTCGTGAAGATTTCTTTTATTGAATCTTTAAAATGAAAATGTTATTTTAAAGAAATGAAGATATTTGGGCTAATCTATTTAGCAGCACTGCTCCCATACAAGAATTTTTTATTACTGCTTAGTTTTTGTGGAATATACGGGATAAAATTAAAATTCTTAACATAGATATTTAAAAATATAAAATGTTAAAATAATAAAGAATTTTAGTTGATTAAATAAAATTAAAGTCTCGAATTTATAATTAATCTTTTAACAACATCATGTGAATATATTTTGACGGAGAAAACCAATGTTCAAAGCATAATTTTTCATATAAAAATCATTAGCGCATAGTCTGCTCATTCTAATTTTACTTCTGCAATACTTCAAACACGAATCTTTAAAGAGCACAAAATTAAAAATCATCGTTTGGAGAATTAAAAGTATGGGTCAGAATTTTGTTTTGTAAAGGAAGTCAAAATTCTACTTCAGTCAAGATTTTGTATAGCTATCAAATATTAAAAGCACTCCAATATAAAATGGCTCAATTTTGAGCCTTTTTTTTGGAATAGCATATATGCATACTCGTAAAAGATTTTCGAAAAATTCCAATTATTTTGTTATTCAGTTTTCAATTTTTCTTCAGCTAGTCAGTTTTTCTTTCAACTGTGAAATTGTTTTAATCTCCTGTCGTTTTATCTTTAATTTTAAGTTGTGTCATTTCGAAAAAAAGACTTCTACTTTCTTGATGGGAACATCGTGACTTCAAAGACGTAAATTTCATAAATTATTAAAAAAACAAATTATAGCCACGAAAAAAAACAAAAAATCAATAATAAGTAAAATCGAAGTGCATTAATGCAATAAACAAGAACATGACCGGAAATCTAATTTAAGTCAGAAATCAGACTAAACATACCTAGGCATATAAGATAATAAATTTACCATATAAAGCGCATAACGTATGAATGACAGTGTTACACATTAACAAACAATAATAGTGCCATTATTGACATAACATATTTTGAAATATAACCACATCTATATTTGGCTATTTAGAGAGCGAAAGCACGAGCTAAAAACAAAATCGCTTTTTCTTCTTTTTATACATGCGTGCACATAGTGCTACATAAACCATGCAGGTATCAAAAAAACACAACACTCAACATAAATATATAAATCAATTTAATGGGACGTAATCGAAAATGTCATATTAAAAACGAAATTGTAAATAATTGTTTGTACACATGTACCCGAGTGTAAATATAGAAAATATTAATTCATTAATTATTACAAAAAAGAACAATAATAACAACAAGTACAAAAATAAAAAATAGATCTATTGACTTGATGAACGACTAGCCGTAAATTAATTGAATTTTATTTTACTTACCTTAAACATAATTTTATTCTATCGAACACTACGACATTTTAAACGATGCGGACGGCTCCCACCGCTGCATTGGAGGTGATGATCGGATTGCCGCCACTGCACCTCCATATATTGAAGGAAGCTCGGCTGGTGACTTACCGACTTCTCTCTGGCGAGGACGGGGCAGGGCTAAAGTTGGCCCACAGAACTCACAGAGACTTCATTGAGGGCGATCCGATTCTAAGGATAACCATGTCAGATACCTGTCTGCCGCGGTACAACTTCGACCACAAGTACAGGGTTCTGTTTCCTGATCGATGGACGTGGGATCGGGGTGGTCCGGTACTTAGGTCGGGTTCGAGCGTGTGGTATGCGGACGGATCCAAAACGGAGTCGGGTGTGGGCTCGGGCGTATACGGTGTCCGCCCGGACACGCGTGTATATGCAACCCTTGACCCGTATTTCACAGTGTTCCAGGCCGAAATACATGCAATAGAGATCTGTCTGAGAATCAATTTGGAAAGGGGGTATAGAAACCGCACCATCTATGTGTTCTCAGACAGCAGGGCTGCACTGCTGGCGCTCCGTTCAGCTCAGGTTACATCCAAGCTGGTCTGGAGCTGCCTTGCTGCACTTATGGAATTGGCATCGGAAAACAGAGTGATGCTCATTTGGGTGCCGGGCCATAGTGGCCATGCGGGCAACGAAGTTGCCGATGAGTTGGCGCGGAGGGGATCTGGGGCTGCCTTTGTGCAGCCGCTGCCTTTGTGCAGCCGCTGCCTTTCTGTGGTCTGCCTTCTTCCGCCGTGGGGGCCAGGCTTGCCTGCCTACTCGCGGCGGAATGCAGTCGTCACTGGCGGGACACGAAAGGGTGCCGTCATGCGAAGGTGTTTGTTCCGGCGTGCTCCGGCGGATTCGCTGCGGAGTTGCTGGGGATGAGCAGGAGCCGGGTTCGCACTATTGCGAATTTCTTCACGGGGCACTGCCCGGTGAAATACCACCTGCACAGGCTGGGGAAGTCGGGCTCCCCCCTGTGCAGATTTTGTGGGGGTGGCGATGAGACCGCCGTGCACATTCTCTGCGACTGTCCGGCACTGGCTGTTCGGCGCCGCAATTGTCTTGGACATGGGTCCCTAAGTGTTCGGGAACTATTGTCCAACTCCCTTAGGGATATCTCCGGCTTTGTGATTGGGACGGGGATATTATAGACGGGAGAGTGGGGTGGCTACAATAAGTCAAAAATGGCTGCGGTGGCTTGGGGGGATGCTCCTGTCCCCACTCAGTTCCCTTAGAATCTACAATCTACGACATTTTAAAAATTATATATATTCTATACACAATATATTAATTAATTCGTATGAAAAGCGCGCGCATTTGATCCAATCGCATATTGTTTTGCTTTGTTACGGTTTCTTTCTGATTTTTTTTTTTTGTTATGGTGAAAACAAATGAGTTTGAAGTTAGATTAAAATTGTAAATGTTGCAGTTGGTTGTTCCTCTTACGGAAACTGCTTTAGACGGCATGGCTGGTTGGGTATTTAGTGTTAGAGTACACACAAAATTTTATTTTTTGTTTCAGGTCAAGTTACACTGGCGCAACAGCATCGAAGTCCACTATTTACTCTTTTTAAGATCAATTCGCCGCGGGTTAATTATTCTACGAGAAAAATTGTTAGCTTCGCTATTATTGTGCATATAAAAAACTTCGATATTTTGCCAACAAAGAATTGGTGAATCCCGATAAGGCAACAATATCGTACTTTTATATTTACTTCTTGTGTGACTACAACTTATTTTTACATTATGTTTTTTCTACTTCGCTTCGGGTTTTTTTCTTTTGATGTTTTCACATTATTTAAAATTCTATCTAGACTGTCATCAGGTGACAATGTTAATTAACACACTTTTATTTTATATTTTTAATAATTATGTACGCATGTGGGTATACGAGTATATAAATTTTTGTATATATGAACACAAAACTTACATAATGCATAAACCTCAAATAGTATAAAGTGATTAATGTTCTTATATTGGCTCGGTGTTTCATTTCTGCACGAAAAAAAGCAAAACATCATGAAAATGAATAGTACGAGCGAGTACAAACATACATACATCAGTAAAAATATTTACAAATTGCTTTAGAATTAAAATTAAAGATTAACATTGTAATAATATAATTAATTTATAAAATAATTAATGAGTTATAGAGTAGCTTTGAGGTTATGTTTTTGGAAATTATTGTATCCCGGAATAAAAGTTGTGTGTGTGTGTTGTAGATGAACACATTGCATGCAATCTTCGATCTTAAATGAATTTTTATGTTTTATTATTAATTGCAATTTGTGAGCAAACAGTAATGTATATACAATGTATCGCAAGCTTATGACACTTTTCTTTAAAAAATAATTTTGTTTTACTTCGTTACAGCAAATGGTCGGAATTATGTCCGATTGCGGTGCAGCAAATACATTTGTATAAATGTATATTATGATCAAGTTCCTTCAAACTTTTCAAACATATTTGATTAAATTTAAAAAAATTTTTGGGTACAGGCTGAATGCAGAACTTACAAATAAATTACAAGTTTCAAATTGACTAATTAAAAAATATAGAATTACATGAATTTGGATTTGATCTGAAATTTGAAAAATAAAAAAGGATTTTAATAAAATCTGATTTTAACTTTGTCGAAAATTTAGTTTTCAATTCTGAAATCGTTTGTGTAAAAGTTGTTAAAAAGTTGTTCTTTTATATACGAATAAAGAAAATTCTAATGTAAATTCGGCTGATTGCAAAATCATTGCGACATTTTTTAAAATTAATTACAAGACTCATTAAATTAATAAATGCGTAAAAGATATTTTAACAGGTTATTTTTATTGTTAAACTACAAATTTTTTAAGAATGATATTGTTAAAATTTTCTTCTATAAATAGTGGTTGATCTCGTATCAACCACTACCGCCTTCTGATAGACGGGGCGGGATGCCATCTCGGTACTTCTACATAATTTTAAAATCATTCCACAGTTTTCTATGGAGAAAAATGATTCCGGCAACATATTTTAAGTTGATTTTCACAACAGAATTATTTTCCATGGAATGTAAAAAATTATGTGAAATTTGTAGAAATTTCTTCTCGCGTTAATTAACATTAAGATCTCTTTGAGTTTCGACAAAAACCTTTCTCTCCAAGCATATTTTTAAAAGTAATTATGTATAATTGAACTTCTATAAATCACTCAGTAAAATTTATTATGAATTTTTTAATAATAAAATAAAAAAGAATAAAATAATTTTTATTGCAGTGAATTATTTTCTAAATGATTTATTAATAATGATTTATTGGCTAACATATTTATATTTTTTTTTTCGTAAGTACCCCAATTGATTATTCCTACTTTTATTCTTTCGCACTCCCAACTTAAGTCATACATACGCCAAACGTTATAATATGTGCTTGCCTCAAATAAAATTTTTAAACAAAGTCTACATTTAATTTAATTGCAAAATATTTTTTTTTTATTTTTTTTTTGTTTTAGTTTTATATCTGTTAATAAGTTTAACTAAATAATTTTTTTTCATTTCTTTATATGTATAGCTGCAAAATGATAAATATGGTCATATGAAAATATGCGGCAATAATAATCATACTTATCATTCTTGGTGTCATATGAGACGAGATTCATGTAATACAGAATTATATATTGACATTAAGCATATTGGAGCTTGTCATAGAGGTGAGTTATTGTTATATGAATTGTAAGATAAAATATAATTAAATAATATTGTTTGTACCGCTTATATGTGCGTTTATATAAATATCTGTATATATGTGTAAATATTTATGCAATATGTAGAATGCAATTCGAAGTGAACTATATTGTATAAGAAAACAATCAAATTAATGTTGTATGCTATTTTAATTATAGATGTGCATAGCTACTTGTGTATGTATATATTATGCGATTATCCCTTATATAACGTAAAATTTTGGGACCGAAATTTTGTTATACGTTTCATTATAAATAGAGTTTCTAGACAAAATATTAGAAAATATTGCTGTTATTACTGAAGAATTTTAATTCATTGCATTCATTTAGGATGAAAGGAAAAAAACATTAAAAAAGCGTAAACATTTTGGTGCAATTTGACATCACTCACATTAGCATTTGGAAAATTACAACAAAAGAAATTTGGAAATGCCTGCAGTTTCGGAAATATAAAGCCCCAAATATTTTAACAATTTTAAGATGCGATAACTTAGGAGGGGATGGAAGTGGGAAAAAATATTCCTCTTTCGAAATAAGTTATTTGTTAAAGTATAAAAGCTGTTAAAATATCAGACTAAAACTTTCCGTCTAAAAGAGGAAAAATATTAGTGAACGGTTAATTTCAATAGTCATTTTGCTATTTTAAGATTTGACAGTATCGCATCGCGGTAAAGAAAATCAGTTGCTACTTTTCTGCTTTTTGCGGGATTTAAAAAAATGTTTGCGGTTCCATTGCAATAAGTAGGCAAAAAGAGCAGATCTTTAGGGAACTATAACTTTTAAATAGGGGGAAATAAGCAAAAAAAATTTTTTACAGAAATAAGTTTTTAGTAAACTAATATTTGTGTATAAGATTTCAGATTTCTGTCTTGAAGGGAATGAAGGTTTTGTAAACAGGCCCGCGATCGGAGGGACAAAGTGAAACTAATAAACACTTCTTCCCAATTTTTTTGGAAGAATGCCAAAACAAATACCTTTTTGCATAATTGATCCAAATTGTTACACTACTAGTATAATAAAAAATTATAACCAAATTATTTCTTGAAATTAAGAGTAGGTTATAAATTTTCCTAAAAAAAATACAAAATTAAAAAATTTTTGCATAAAAAAAAACCAATTATTGTAATTTGTAATTTATTAAAGGATTGATTTATTTTGTATTAAATTTTAATTTGTTTTTAATAAATTTGAAATATCTAATTTATTACACAATCATATAAACATTTAATGAATAAATTATGTTCATTCAAGAAAAAAACGATATTCTGAATGACTAATAGAATTTTTAGGCCGTGCCTCAAATCACGAATTTTTTACATTTCAGCACTGATTGCATTGGAAAAATCCATTAAAATGCAATGTCTTGTTTCTACTAATAGGCAAGATATGAAACATGTAATTAGGCGTATTACGTTATTTATGTATCGAAATCAAATGTTTATAATTAGTTAACATTTTGATTTACACAAAAACAATGTGACATTGTGACTATATAAGTGATAAAGTGATTTTTATTACGTTTCCTGAATTATATTTCGATTTCATTTAACACGATAAGGTTTAATAACATTTGATATACTGGAAAAATTTTCATTTTAATTGGAAGTTGAAATTCCATTCAATTTTAATATTTTTATATTGTAAATGAAAATGTTTAAATTGAAAGGGATTAAATTGAATAAAAGTGAAAAATAAAGCTTTCCCTTTTTTATTTTTCTCAATAACTCCTGAACCAAACCAGGTAGCAAGAAGACTATATAATAAATTGAAGGTCAGTAAATAAGGTTACCAGCTGTAACTTTCATGTTATATCGTCTAGAAAATTTACTTTTACACCAGTACGAACTAAGAAACTTTTTATAGTTTCTTAGCTGTGTTTTTGAATGTATAGTTTTTAAAGCTGTGGTATTAAAATATTCGCACAAACAAATATATTAGTAAAGCCAATAAAAGTCGTTGAAATTGCTTGGCTGCTTCTGGTATCTGCCGTACAACTCTAAGAGTTAATTGGCATTATCTCAGAAATCATTGGAATAATAATATAGAAATCTCGTGTAAATAAGGGTGTTGTAAATGCTGTTATGTGTGATAAAAATCGTTGAGACTTCTTGTGGTAGCTGCCGTACAACTTCAATAGAAGTTTGGTCATATCTTAGAAAATATTGAAGAGTACTGAAATTTTGTACACAAAAAAGGAAACAGTACTGAAATTTTGCATACATTAATATGGTAATATAGCAAATTAAAGTCATAGTCTGCCCCATAGTCAGCTATAACACATTTATTCGCACATAGGATAAAAAATTCATATAGGTATCACAGAATTGACACGGTCAACTCTATTTTTTCTTGTTTTAAAAATGAGATTTTCAAATTCTTCGAATTTTAAAGTAATGTGATTCCGAAAACTGAACAGATTATAACTAATTCGGATATTTGTAACAAAGCCCTTATTCTGTTTCCAAATCATATTTAATAATGCGCCTACTTTACACAGGCATGGAATTGCACTTAAAATTTCAAAAAGTAAAAAATCAGACGAAATTGACTTTAAGCCCATGTAACTCTGAACGTATTAAGCTATGAACATCGTCCTTTACTTTTGTCTTCTCATAAGGGCCTATAAAATGGTGTATAGCTATGCGCACTTTGATACGAGACACCTTATAGATAAAGGTACATTATAATGTATTGATAGAATAATTACCACAAAAATTTTTGTGGTCTTTTTTACTATATAAATTTTTAATTTTAAAATTCCAAACGCAGAAACTTAAAAGTTTTTAACTTTATTTGAAGAAAAAGTCTTCTTCTTTTGGTATAAACCTATGAAACTGTATTTTGTCTACACTGTTGTGTAGACAAAAAGCTGTAGTTTGGATAATTTTCAAAATTCTGTCCAGAATTTTATGTAATTTCCATACTATATTTTAAAATGTGGGTGCTTTTCTGCTAATACGGAAGTATTAAAAAAATCATCAATAATATCTAGTGAAAAAATTTGGGAGCACAAAAATTGCAAAATTGATTTTTTCGAAGACAAAAATTTTGAAAGAAATTTCAAAATTTTGAAAATAATAAAATTACAGAACTAACACGAACCGTTAAAGTTGTTTTATGACTTCGTTAGTATACGTTAAACTTTGAAAGTTCTTCAAAAATATTTTCAGTATTCTATTCAATTGTGAGAATTTTTTAAATTGAGTGAAGAAATATTTTTTTCATTTTATAATTGCAAATTCTTATTGGTTTACGTCTTAGATAAAGAAATATATAAATTGGTTGGTGAACATAATAACTTTTTCGAGCTTTTGAATAGATATCACTCATTCGATTAAAAGTGAAGTATTACAGTTTTTAATTTGAGTAGGAATTCGAGTGGAGTAATAAAATTATATTCGAAAAATAGCTACAGTATACATATTTACATACTTATGTACATGTATCTGTATATAACAGGAAAAAATTAACAATATTAGCTTAACGAATAATAATAGTGTGTTTTCTATTATTTTTAAAATTTGAAATTGTTGCGTGAAAAATTGAAAATAAATGAGAATTAAAATTGTAAAACAAAATTTTTAAATTTTTAATTTAATTTTTAAGAATTTTCACGTAACAGGGCTGTAAAATTAAATGAAAAATAACTCTATAATAATAAATAAATAACCCAGTACAAAATTCAAATTATAAAGTAAAAAATTTTAGATTTATATTTAAACTATGCCCTAGAGAGTTTATAGTTCTGGTAATATTAGTCTAGGAAAAAATATCTGTACATAGCTGCATATTTTTTATATATCAAATAACAAAAATTTGCACAAATGTTCTGATCCTCTACTACTTAATTCATTTTCACTGTTATTAGAAGATCCAATTGTTATTATTCTTAATTTTAATTTGAATAATATAAAAGAAAATGAATTATTATTATTATATTTATTAAAAACACAAAATATATTAATGTTTTTTATTCGATTTAATTTATTTCAGATTCATTTATTCCAACTCAACCACCGGATACACAAAATCGAATGAAGGCTCAATGATATTCAATTTCTGATAATGTAAATAATACAATTAAAGAATTAGTTAATAAATTTTTGTTTATAGTTGAGAAAATATTTCGAAAAGTATTATTATTTTTTTATTAGTAAATTAATAATATAAATTTTATTTAATTTAATTATATATATATAAAGAAAATTTAAAAACAAAATAAATTAAATTACATTAACATTTTATTTATAGTTTTAAAATTACAAAATCAAAAAATAAGAAAACGAAAAATAATTGATGCAAATATTCTTAATTAAAAAATAAATATTTTTTAGTAAATGAGATATGCTCAGGCGGCAGCTCAATGTAAATTTTGTAAATTTATTATGTTATAGTTAATGAAAATTTAAAAGAAAAAAAAAGAGAGAAACATAATTTGATTGATCTATTTTATATAATATTTAATTATTATTATTATTATTATTATTAATTAGATAAGTATAAATATTAAAAATTGTATAGAAAGTTTAGTTTTAAATAATATTTTAATTTACTTTAATAAATTATTAATACAAAATATAATTAAAATTATTAATAATATTTATTTTTAAAATGAGTTTAAAAATTATAAAAAAAAAATTTAATTTATAAATAATTGTTAAAAAAATAAAATTAAATAACGAAGAGAATGAATTGTAATTTTTTTTTTAATTGTACTTGAAAATGATAAAAAATTGAAGAAAAATATTTAGGAAAAAATAAGGAAAGAAAAAATTTTGAGGAAAATTTCAAAAAAATATTTATACAAATAAAAAAAAAATTAATTTTGCAAATATTTGAAGCGAACTGAAACAATGAATCTGTAATACATAAATGAATCCAAATAAAATTATATTTAAATAAATTAAAATATAAAAACAATATTTAGAAAATTGTAGAGAAATAATTAATAATTATGAATGTATTCCATATTATGACATAATACAACTTATAATTTTAAATAATGTTTAGATGCTTTGCAAACATCATTTACAAATATCGAATTTATATATCATGTATGTATGTGTTATACATCACATGTGTGAACACATTAAATAAAAAATTCACGGCCAATCTAAATAACGTCTATGTTGTAAGAATATCATAGCGCTGACAAAAACAAATTTAATATAAATTTCAAATTTTGCATATTTAATAATTATTTTTGATTATTTTCGAGTCTGCATTAATATATATTTAAGAACATATTTCCGTTTATACGAATCACGAATTAATTGGTATAATATAAAATGTTTAAATGAAAGCTAAACTTAAGTATAAACCAAGAATCAAAAAACAAAATTCAAAATCTATTTAAGAATAACAATAATTAATGTAATTTTTTCTATTTTTTTTGTTAATCTAAAATTTTTGCATAATTAATTTGCGATTTTTTTTATTTTAGGCAGTGACAATGATTCAAATTTCAATAATTTTATAAACTCTTTCTCAAAATTTTCGAAATTTTTTTTTGACAAGAAAATCAAAGATACAAATTTCGAATTCTAGAATGGATAGTTTACGTAGTGGTAAAATTGAAATTGTAAGAGTATATTGTTTTTCTCAATAATTTGAACTTGCAATAGTTGAGCTTTACAGTAGATTCCTAATTTTTGAGTTTTATTCTAAAGTGAATAATGTATTCACAAGATTTCATAAATTTTAATAAATATGATTACAAAATTCGATTGAAAACCATAATTTCTTAAATATCCACTGTCTTAAATTCTGATTTTTGTGTGTAAATTTTTAAAATAACTACGATGCAATTGAAATTAGAAAGATTAAAATTTGAATTTGAAAAATATTAATTTGAGCGCGTTCAAGAATCAGAAAAACTATTAGAAATTTAGATTGGCTACGATAATGATTATAGATTAGATTAAGAGCATATACGCACTGAGAATATTCAAAAATAATAACAATAGAAAATTTAACTATTTTAAAAATAATGCTCCTGATAAAATGCTCTTAATGTAATAATATATATATATATTATAGAATTTATAGATGTAAAATCTATTAAAATTTATATGAAAATAAATTTTAAACATACGAATATAATGTAAACAGGTTAGCCCCCATTATACATACACATAAATTAATAGATAAATGAAAAATGAAAATGAATTTTAGTAAAAATGTCTTTCGAATACTTAACCCACCTCTCTTGATCTATACTTATACTTATATTAATAGATATTGTAAAAGATAATACAAAATTTCAATTATAGTATGCTTTATTTTTAGTACACATTTTTGTAAAATTGATAAATGCAAATTTTTTTAGAAGATTAATATAATGTCAATTGAATATTTTTAAAATTTTAGAAAAATTATAGAAGATAAAAAAAAATAATAATGTCATCAAAATTTATTTTATAAAAATGTTTTTTAATGTGCAACAAAAACACACAAACAAAATAATAAAATATTAGAACAGTTTAAAAAGCGCCATGTTGCCAACTTAAATTATTTTATTCTTAAATTAAAATGAATATTTTTCTTTCCTTGAAGAACTTTTTACAAAATTTATATAATACATTATACATATATATATATTACAATATATATATATATATATATATATAGTAGATATACGTACATTCATTTAAATGGTTTCTATATTTCTTGAATTAAATTCTGTATTTAATAAAAAAAAAATTGAAAAATTAAAAAAAAGAAACAAGTTTCAAAGATATTAAAATTATCTAATTCATGTAAAAAAAACAAGGAAAAAACAAGTAGATAAAATTTTATGAAAAAAAATATAAATGTAACGTACATAGCTACTTATTTAGTAAATTAAATTCAATACAAAAAAAATAACATGATATATAATGAAAATATTGAAAAAAAAAGAAAAAAAAAATAGTTTAATAAAAAAAATTATATGTTAACTTATATTTAAAATAAAAATGCAACTAATTAGAAAAAAATCTATTGTTTAAAATTTAGAATGCCAAATAAAGTCGTGGAATTGCACCCCATAAAGTGATAAGAAGAATTATTACTCATTCAAATAAAAAAAAAATATTTCTTAATATTTTTACTAAGTAAATATCTAAACTACAATAAATGGAGGAACGAATTATTTTCAAAAAAATTTTGACATCTTAGCTTGAAAAATGCTTGTACTTGGTATGCTTACATATTGTAAGATTTGTATGGGTGAATGTAAATTATTTTTGGATTTGTACGAAAGTTTTTATAAGAGCTTACACAAACACTATACTAAATTTTACTTGAAAAGTGTATAGCCTTAATAACTCATTGATAGATACATCTGAATACACTAAACATGGAGTTGTGTGGCAGCTACTGAAAGAATTTTACTGCCATAAGCGAATTTTAATAGAATGCAGTCTATTCTATTATGCGAATTTTAATACTGTAAGCTTTATAGCTGTTACCGAAATATGGCTCAATTATTTTTACAGTTGTATGACAACTATTATCGCTGAACTACTGCTTTAATTGAACTCAAATTAAATAGGTTTCTTACGATAACAACTCTTCCTTAATTGATAAAAATTTAGTTAGCCTAGCTTAATAGATTTTTAAATCGATTTTAAATTTCACGCTAATCAAAAACACGAATATAAATATTTTCATATTGCATTAATCTCTCAAAAGCCTATGACTTTTCGTTTACGTACATATATTGCAGCTGTTCTAAAGAAGTAAGAAGCTTAAAATAAACAGACCGACATCTTGTTTAATTTAAAATTTATGTCTTCCAGATTCAAAATTATTCTTTGAAGAGGTTATTAGAAGAATGATAGTTCGTTCATAGAATTCTTATAGTACATAAAAAAATGAGGAAAAAAATTTTTCAGGGAGTGTCAGGATTTATAACTTTCACGGGCCGATTTTATTTTTTCGACCATAATATTTAGAAAATTAACAATGCTGGCCTCCTTAAATTTATTGTGTCAATGGAAAAATAGGCTCTAAAATTTTGAATTTCCTGAAATGCGTTCAATGTGATAGGATTTTATGCAATAATGTTGTGATTTAAGTATACAAGTTTAGACTTAAATTTCGAAAATTGTTTTTATTCTAAAAACTGCAATCTTTTTGAATAATATTTTATTACATCGTGCCAGTGTATATGCAAAACTTTGGGCTGCCATTTCCTGGTTGAACTTTTAAGAAAACTCATTTTATTTCAGTTTCATATACATATGTATGTATGTACGTGCACATTTCAATTGGTTCAAATAAAACTTTTCATATCCAAAATTAAAATTTCAAAATAGTAAAATAGTTTCCCTTCAATTCCTCAGATTAATTTCGGCATCAAATAGAAACTTTTTATATATACGTTACAAAATACAAAAATATATAGTGAGAAAAAAATTGCAATCTGGTTTTTTAAAAATTTCTATATCAATAAAAAACCAAAAAGCACTGACCTTCCAGAACTTCATTATTGTTACTTTTCCATACACAAAATCTTAAAAATGTTTTCTATACAAGCTAAAAAGTTCTTTTTACATATTGTGTCCAAGCATAAGTAGAAAATATTAAAAAATATTTTTATTTTATTTAAAGATTGTTGAACTCAATTGCATTTTGTTGTATAAAACTTATCACTAAAATTGATTATCTCACTGTATGGAGACGTTTATTGTCATTTCCGCACAATGAATCGTCATGACTAAAAGTAGTTTGCCTTCAATTTATTCTAAATGAATAGAAAGACGAATGAGAAAAATTCTAAAATACATAAAAGTTAACAAAAATAAAACAAATTTGAAATACGGGATTTTTGGCTGATAAAGAGTAGGAACATGACAACAACTACATATTACAGCCCTTATAATCAGCAAGAACGTAAATATCATATTGTCATTCTTCTTATATAATATTTTATTATTAAATTAATTTTTTTTAATTCCCTCAAATACATATACAAGCGCTCAATTCAAGAGATGAATATATTTTTGTTTTTTTATATCAACTATAAAAATTGAATAAATGAAGTCGAAGTAAACATTTAAAACGGTAAAATTCTGCCTTAAAGTGTATGGCTACCCGCATAAGTGAAATTGAATGGTGCAAGTTGTAAACATAAAAGTTATTATATAAGTTCTTCTTCTTTAATTAAGTGATTCTAAAGATAACTTAGTATATTGCAGCCAATGCGTTAAGTGGAAATTTTTAAATTGAAAATTTAAGATGAACTTGAGAATAACTCGAAAAAAATGTCAAGGTTCTTGAAATTTCACAAGAAAGCGAGTATACTTTTCGTATAATAAAATAATGCTAAATTCTGATGGACAAGAAAGAATAATTGGATAAAACATTATAAGCCAACCATTCGGGGTGTAACGGGTGAGAGTGCAAAAATTTTGCACAAACTAATTTAGAACTTTACTTACGAACTGAAATGAAGTCAGAGAAAATTGTTCAAAATTTTCACATATAATACCAAAGATGAAGATGTGTGCGATTGCGCTTTATTTATAACATGTATACATGTAAATGTAGTTATGTAAATGCACAATTATACTTAATTTCACATTGTAGCAGATCTCAGTGTCCAACACTGAGGAATGAAATGAGGGAACAATGGGGATAGAAGAGTAATTGCAAAAAATCTCAATTTCTATAAAACTAATAAAGTAAACAGTTGTTGGTAATAATTCAATTTTAGCAGCAGATGACATGTAGGCCAAGAAGAAGTAATATTGGGTAGCATAAACTGAGTACATGTGCCTCATATGTAGTAAATTTAGACTATGAATAACTTAATACTGTCTTTCGATATGTGTAATACATATTTGATATAAATCAAAAATTAAGTCATCATCAACAATTTCGAAAAAATGTTTTCGAAAGTTGTGGCTGCACGTACTCAAGCTATTAAAATTTTAGATATTTGGACAGACAGAAGCAAATGCAATTTTCGGATACAATATATTTAAGATCTCATCGATTATATATTTAAGATCTTAGTGTATTTATTAAAAATGTTCTGTAAATGTAAGTCATTATTCTTGATGACGGATCATTTGTGCACATTTCGTCGTGCCCGGGGATACATTTGGATACATTTTTTGCATGAATAATTTGAATTAAGTATGTTTAGGTACTTTAAAAATCACCGTTTTCTTATTAAAGTCGTATGGGCACTTTAATTATATTTTGCATATATATATGTATGTATATTTTTCTACTTTATTATTTATGAGGGTGTAATCAAGTGTCTCCCTTTATGATTTCCTTTATGTTATTATACATATTCAATTTAGTGGAAAGGGTGATTTTTTAGCAATTATTACAATGCTATAGAACTACTAACGAAAGTTTTAAACGGATAATTTTCTATTTACGTATTTTTACACGCTGTATGTAAACTCATTTTAACTGTTATTAAATTGGTGACTAGTTGCAGGAACTAAGACCTTTGAATTGGCCGATAAAAATTTGTGTATTGGATGCCAGAAATTGCAATATTATTTTATCATCGGAGTGTGCGCATATTAAAGAACTATCGAAAATTTGACGCAATAATTAGGTTTCTTTTAAAATCGTGACATTAAATTTAGATCTTCAAAAGAAAAGGAATATAAGAGTCAAATTTAAAATTCCATTTTTTCTTTAAATAAAGCACCTATTAATTCATACATCTATACTTAAATATAGATCGGGTGAAATTTTAAATTTTCTTAAATATTTTTTTCTATATAAAAATCTCTTATCAAATGTCTTACTTATTATCTTGTTCTTTTGTATTATAAATCTTTTGGAGCATTATTTAAGTACATATATTGTCATTATATTAATATAAATATTTAGTCATCAATTGTTAGTCAAGTTGTTCGGTCGATGTAGGTACACGCACAATATCATACACTATTGACATTTTATACGGTTTAAATAATTGAAAATTTTGAAACACGAGTACAAGTTGCACTTGAAATCAATTCTGTTGTCGGCATTAAAAGTAATATTTTAAGTAATTTAATAATAGCTGGTGTATGTATATGTATATAGAGTAATGATTGATTGATTTCCATTATGCAAAAATGGAAGATATAACAACATTCAGTTTGTTAAAATCACTTTGATTCTGAGTGTGTAATGATAATGTGAAAGAATATTGTTTCAATAAATAGTTACTTGACCTAAAAAACAAAGAAAAAAAATATACTTATAATATATTTTTTATTTACAACTTGTGAGATTGATTTTTAAAGTAGATTAATAAAATTATATTTTAAATATAATATAATGAAGTTTCTGATGTGATTAGTCAGTTGTTGCCTGTATAGTTTACGAAGGGTATATGAAGGATGCAATTTTTAAGTTATTGAAGACAATATTATACGTGTATGACTTCATTAATATACAAAAATATATAATGTTATAATAACACATAAGAAAATAAATAATAATTTTTAATTCAATTTCTAGTTCCAGATGCACAATACAATAATAATGGAATAGAAAATTACACAAATTAAATATTACGCGCAAAAAACTCAAAAATTGTTAATGACTATATCGATTATAGACTACTAAATATTTGAAGTATTAAAAATTTCTGAAATTATTTGGTTGTAATCATAAATTAATTCGAAAGGACAGTTAGTAACAATTTTTCAGTTCAAAGATAAAGCACAGTGATTAAATCTTGATATTATAATAATTTAAAATTTAATCTTATTTAAATCTTGATAAATCTTCTAAAATCTTTTTAAATGAGAGATTATAAGAATTTTTTACTTTCTTTTGAAATATGAAGGGATTTTCGCTAAATTTAAAGATCACCTGTACCCTACAGCTACCTTACACTTTCTTTTAGTATTATAATTTATTCTAAATACTTTTTTTTTAAAACCTACAAATTTATTGTGTATGTATTATTTACCTATTTAAAGGGATTATGTCATTTAGAAAATTTATGTATTTTACATAAAATATAAAATTGTGCTTGTACGTAGATATGTTTGGTGCTTAAAAATTTACACTTATGTTTAGGTATATAAGGTATAATAGTGGCTTTATGGTCAATTATAAGCAATTACAACTATAATACATATACATATATTAAAGAGGTATATTTGGAATCAATGGGCGTACGTGCTGCATATTTAATACTTCAATAAAATGTTTGCAGATATTTATGTGTGTACATATGTATTTGGATTTAAATCGCATACATATATAAAACAAAAAAGCAAGCACCTTTTATTTAGGAAAATTTCATGTGTATAAGTCTTGTATAAGTGAATGAAGATTTTAAATTAATATTTAATGGAGGTAGTGAACTTTTATTTAAATTTCCAATTATTGTAAAATATATTTAGGGTGATCTATATTGTGTTAAATAATTAAAATTTGGCAGAATTTGAACTACTTAAATAATATGTAAAAATTCACTTAAATAATAATGGTACCATATATTTATTGAAAATTGTAAATAAATTTTGAAATTAATTAATAATTTCTGCACATAGTACGCCATAATACGCTGTTATGCCATTTCTCCTAAGATTATAGGACCAAATTAGAATTTAATGTGATTCAAATAAAAAAATAAGGAATTTTATCGTATAGATTTTATTATTATATTTGTAAAATCGTTTATTATTAACTATTTTACAAACTTAAAGCGTAAATTATTCTTTTTTTGCTCTCTTTTTACAAAAATATATTTAAATTCGCCTCAGAAATTTGAAATTTCTTGTAAAATTTGTAGAATACCTACTAAATTTAAAAAAATTTGTTAAGAAGCTGGTGATCTACAACTATTATTCTTCAAGTTATCTTAATATTGCATAATGAAGCCTCATTCATATTGTATAATGAAGTTTAAATATTGAAATATTGCATGTCATGTTAGTGTACTAAAATATTGAGAGCATAAAACAAATACAATTTGGCGAGCACGTCTCTAATTTTTCTATTCAAGTAGATTAGGTATCTGTTAAGAATCTACCATCAATTGATTACCCATAGGTACTTGAAAATTAATTTCATCTAAAATTTTTTGACTTCTCCACGTAATCTACTAAATATTACTCTTTAATTTTATGAATGAAAATTATTCTTTAATTTTTCATTTTTATTACAACTATAAAATGCACAAAACTCAAAAAACCAAATTGTCTACCACCATAAAAATCATAACAGACATTTAACTAAAGTACAAGTGTATAATATACACTATATTATAGTTGTTGTTTTACTATAAAAAAAAATCACGAACTATTTTATGCCATGCACATAAGGCAAAGTGAAGAAAAAAAGAAAAAATTAACGCATGGTCAATGCAAAATCGAATGAATCATCAAACAACAAAAAAGTAGGGAAACCTCTTGAATTAAAAGCTTTTCATTTTTTATTGTTTTCCTTATAATTTCTGATTCTACGTCATTCATACATAGTAAGTAAGTCTCTGATGCTGTAACAGTAACGTGAATTTATCGTGCAATCAGTTCTGTTTTTGTTTTTCTTTTATTCAGATTGAATTTTAAAATTTTCTTATTTTGCTTGTGAAGTTTTTACCTTTTTTAAACATAAAAAAAGTGCTTGTTCATTTTTGCTAAATTCATTGAGTGTGATGAATTTCATGTGAAACATTTTTATTACTCATTCATAACATAAGCTTATTGATTCAACTTGGAAGAAATAAGAATCGCGAATGAAAACAAAAAACTAAACTTTTAAATTAAACAAAAAAAAAAACGAAAGAAAATTGTAGTCTACTTAATACAAGTTTACCTACACACACACACAAACACATAATTACAGGCAAACAGCCATACACGATTCCATTCCATACTTTGTTATCTGATGAACGCTAAAGAAAATTCAGTGTTGAAAAGTAAAAGCAAAAATAATAAGAAAAAATAAACAAAAAAAAAAAGTTAAAACAAACATGTGCTATGTATTGACTATTGAATGACTGGCTGGCCGACTGACTGCTACAACATTTAATAATAATATTCATTTAATAATGATTAGTCGCATGTTATCCGTCTTACAGTTCGGTTCGGTTTAAGAAGAAAGTAGATAGTAAAGGTTTAGTTTTTTTTTTAATAATAACGATTTTCTAAATATTTTTCGATATCGTTTTGTTTGTTCAATTGTTTTTTATATTTTTTTTACGGTATTAAATGCTATTATGTGTTAATTTAATATTATTTACTTATTTAAAAAAAAATTTTTAATCGAGAATAGAATTTTTAATTTATTTACAATTTGAGTGTTTAGTATAATTGTTGTATATTTATATGTACATTTGTATATAGGTACATCGGAAGAAACTATAAAAAATAATTGCTTAAAATTATATTTGAATGAATGAATTAGGAATTTTAATAAAAGACAAAATAAAATACAAACATCTATAAAATAATTAATAAGTATAAAAGAAAATAGAAAAAAAAATTATAAAAATGTTAAGACAGCAGGTGCAAATATTTAAAATTCATAATAAATATTTATTTATATATATATATCTATTATTAATAAGTGCATTAATTGAATTAATTGATGGTTTTAATTTTTCACCAAAACCAAATTTAATATTCAATAAACCACAATCAAATATTTTTAGTCAACCGACTGTAAGAAGTTCTTATTTTGGATACTCAATTAATTTAAGGGAATCAAGGTAAGTTTTTCTGTTTTCAAGAAATTTATAAAATTTATTAAGTAAGTGTTATTTTAATTATCATAATTGATTTAGTAATTAATTTTTTTCATTAAATTTAATATTAATGTTAACTTGTTTAATGTGTATGTGTTAGAAAATCATATTTAGTTTTGTCATGTTTTCTTAGTTCCGGGATAAGAAAAGTATAATTGTAAGGTATTCGAAACCTGCCGGGCATTATTAATCTTTTGTTGACAATACAGTAGTATTTTGAATTGTCAAGAAAAAGTTTAAAATCTAATTTCAACATCTCCCCTTTTATGAGTGATAAAAAATCCTTTTTTAAAATCTCCCTTAAAATTACCAAACAACTTACCAAATAATAGCGTTACTAAATACCAAAAACTAGCGTTATGCTAATATAAATATTAACCAACGCATACTTACTGAAAATCGTTAGCCCCATAATTTTACAAAAAGCATTCAGAATTCCTTTTCCCTGTTGTAAGCAAACTCGTTTCATATAAGATTCGGGATGCGTAAAATTGTAATTTTTTTATTTTTAAAATCAACTTAAAAAAATCTTCCTGGTGTACATAAATTTGATTTTCAATTTTTTTTAACTTTGGTAAGACCGAACGATCCTTTCTTCTGAGAATACGGAATACAAAGTGTTCAATAAAAATGTAGATGATAACTTTAAGTGACTGCATCGAAATTAAAATATCTTAATGAAATACTTATAGAAATTTATTGGATTGAGTAAATTGTTGCGCTACTTTTAATGACACATGAGACATTTAACTACTTATAATAAATGCACAATATAAGAATGAAGACCTCATAATTGAATATATCTTAGTTAATCGTATTGTAATGACTAATCTTAATTTAATGTGTTACTCTTAAAAAATATTATGAAGGAATATTTTTTAGCAATTGCGGTGATAGCACCTTCTTAAATTTGTTCTTACATAAGTATGTGCCATTAAATTACAGTAATAACAACTTTCTTATAAATTAACTAAAAATATTAGTGTTCTTGTATTGCGAATTGCAAAACTAAAAGCTGAAAGTAATACTCGTACTTTTTTTCTAATTTGTTGAATAAGCATATCGCATTCACTAATGATCTTTTTCACAAAAAAACTTGCAAGCTATACTTATATCGTTCTGTCGACCAAACTGTTTGTGAATCATTATAGAATAATTACAAAGTCAGTATAACTAGACTTAATTCTGAATCATTGCTATTAAAAAAATTTATTCAAATGAACTATATAATTATATATTTATAGTTATTAAATATAGAAATGATTAAAATCTCAATTTATTATTAAAATTACTAGAATTTATGGTGTTATATATATATATCTACATATATTAGTATATACTTAAACATTTTACATTATTTAACCACTAAACCAATTGAATTATTTAAATTTATAAATAAAATTTTCATATTAATTTCTCAGATTTATAAGTTAACAATTATTTATATTTACTAGGTCAATTGTGGTCGCTATCATCATTAAATTCAGCTTTTTAGTATAAAACTTCAATTGTTTTTAAGAAAGTTATTAGTATGACTATTTTTTCTATATATAATTTTTGACTAAAATGACAAGCATGTAATTTTTTTTTAAATGTCGCTAACCCCATCAACTTTATTTTGATTTTTAAAGAAAAATTATGATTGTAATTAAATAGGATTGCAAAAATTTTTGTATACACTCAATAATTGTTACTTAATTATTGAGAGGTGTATTTGGATTTGTATTAAATTTTATAATTTCAAAATCAGAGGCTATTTTGCTATTTCTCAAGTAACTTTTCCCGAATGATTCTTTAATTGGCAATATATTACATAATAAACAAAACAAATAGAAATGTAAAACCACTAGAAATTCTAAAAATTAATGACATACTTAATTTCATCAAAGACTTTGCTTTTTTGTTTAATTTGAAATTCAAATTAGAAACTAATCACAATAATTAATGTTACAAGATTTATTTTTTAGTTAACATCTTAGTCTAATGAACTAAAAAGTCTATACAAATCTTAACATATGATTCTAAATCTATTAATATATGTAGATATAGTAGCTATGTATATATGTATATATATTAATTCTTATTTCTTTACGATTAAAATTTAAATTCAAAATAATTGATGATGTTAATTAAAAATTTGAGTGCTATTTCGAATATATTAGTTTAGAATACTCTTCTGAAGGTTACCCGCGAAAATTAAAAGAATTTCTACATACTTACCTATTTGAGAACTAATTTTAATGTTAGAATTTTATAGTGTTATTGTTTCGTACAGTTCGTTCATGGTTTAATCTTAATGGCCAAATTAATTTATAATTTGCTGTATTATTTTAATATTTTGCGCTAAATTTTATTGGATTTCTCGTTTCTGTTCTTCTATTTCCTTAATGTTCTCATTTTTCATAATTCGTTTTTTTTACACACATATTTATGGTATCTAACTTAATTTTCTACGTGCTACTTGAATTCAGTTATATTGATGTGCTGGTTCATATTAATTTTAATACGAGTATACTCGTAATAGCAGAATAATGAAAAGCTGAAAAGTATGCAAAAAAATCCTTTTATATTATCCCTGAAATTTCCTTTATAATCTTTCCAAAAAAACCTTAATTTCCTTGAAATTCACTTGTTTACTAAGAACTACTAAACTAAGAATACTAAATAAGAAATTTGTGATATTTGCATATAAACTAACATCAACACATAGGGAAAGTATAAAAACACCAGCATAACATAATAAATTTGAAACTTCTATTCTATATACTAGATGTAGGGCATTCTTTTTGTTTTACTTCCAAATTGAATTCCAACAATCATAAAAAGACCTCGTTTACTATACACATACATACACATTTTATATCATTGTATAAGTATCATGTTTGTTTAAATATGTTTTTTTCTTTAATTCAATTCAGTCAATTGTATATAAATTTACTTACGTTAATTTTTTGAATGGTTAAATTTACAAAAAATAACAATATAAATGCTTATTACAAAAAAAAATTGTTAAGTAAGTAAAAAAAATTTTCGCGCTTGATCTGATTTTCATTTTATTGATGGCATAAGTTGACATAAGACTGTATGATGACATAAATTATTGTCTCGAATTTCAATTGAAGAATTTTTCGGTTTTCTTTTTTTTTCGTTTTTGTTCTTTTTATACCCGTACGAACGTATGTTCGAAGGGTATACTAAATTTGCCTTACCGTTTGTAACGCTAAGAAATAACGGTGTTAGATATAGACTCAAGTGTATGTTTTTGATCAGCGTCAAATTCTGAGTTGATTTAGCTTTGTCTGTCCGTCCGTCCGTCCGTCCGTCCGTCCGTCCGTCCGTCCGTCCGTCCGTCCGTCCGTCCGAACGATAACTCAAAAACTAATTGAGCTAAGCTCACCAAATTTGCACAAATGATTTATTGTAGTAAGTGCCGGAACCCTATTTAAATTTTACATGATCGGGTTACCGGTTCGGGTAGCTGCCATACAACTTCAAAATTTATTTGGCTATATCTCAGAAACTATAAAAGTTATGGTATTGAAATTTCACACAAACGAGTATATTAGTAGGGCCAGTATGCCCCATAAAAGTCGTTGAAATTACTTGGCTCCTTCTGGTACCTGCCATACAACTTCAAAAGTTATTTGGCTATATCTCAGAAACTATAAAAGCTGTGATATTGAGATTTCACACATGTGAATATATTAGTAGGGCCAATATGCCACATAAAAGTCGTTGAAATTACTTGGCTCCTTCTGGTACCTGCCATACAACTTCAAAAGTTATTTGACTATATTTCAGAAACTATTAAAGCTATAGTATTGAAATTTCACACAAACGAATATATTAGTAGGGCCAATGTGTCTCATAAAAGTCGTTGAAATTACTTGGCTCCTTCTTGTACCTGCCATACAACTTCAAAAGTTATTTGACTATATCTCAGAAACTATAAAAGCTGTGATATTGAAATTTCACACAAGTGAGTATATTAGTAGGGCCGATGTGCTTGATAAAATTCGCTAAAATTTCTTGGCTCTTTCTGGTAGCTGCCATACAACATCATTAGTAGTTTGGCACAACCAGTATTTTGAATAACACATAGTACTGAAATTTTGCATAAATTAATATGGTAATACGGCAACTTAAAGTCATAGTCTGCCCCATAGTTAGTTATGGCACATTAGTTATTCGCACATAGGATAACAAATTCGTACGGGTATCACAGAGTTGACAAGGTCAACTCTATTTTTTTTCTCGTTTTAATTTAATTTGATTTACTTAGTTGTTTAAAAAAAATGAGGGAAAAGGTCTGATTGTTTAATTTTTTAATTTTCTTATTTATTTAATTTTACAATGGAATTGAATTTGAACTAAAATTTTTTGCTTTTCATAACATTTTCGATTAAATTTTGTAATTTTTGTTTAAAAAGTAAATATTTATAGCTTTCCATGCAAATTGCAATCCCAAACACTATGATTTTTATATTTAATGTTAATTACTATAGCAATTATACTCTTGGAACCCAAAATTTGAGCAAAAGTAAGTACACCAATTTTGAGCATAAAAAGAGATGAGTGTTAATCCTTTATACTTAGTTAACAGCTGCAATACAATTAAAATACCGCACCCTAAAAAAACGAGCTTGATTCTGATTAAGCTGGATAATTGTGAGTCTTTGTTAGACAGAGCTCTCGAACTGCTATTAGATTAAATTTAAAATTACTAAAAATTAAACTTTTTGTCTTTTTATAAGTATTCCTTGTCAAACGAAACTTGCTTGAGCAAGTTTTGTAAAATACCTTTCCTATAATTTTTTTCCGACATAAGAAATCGTGTTCCAGTTTTTGAAAACCAATTTGTGCAATTTTGATTAAATTATCCCGGTACGTTTTTGAGATATGGCTGGAATTGACTAATGGACGGAAAGATATGTTAAATTTGATGCTGATCGAAAAACATATTA